GATATGAAGTTCCACTCAATTCTCCTCTCCACGTGAAAATCAGAACCTGTAATGGGGATATCCGCTGTACAAAATAAACATTTATTCGCGTCTCTTCACAATATCCTTATTCCCTAATTGAAATCTTTCAGCCCCCTATAGGAAAATACACCGCGCACCGCGTGAGTCTTCGAATCAACTGAAGCTTCGCGCCATATATTATCTTCTCTGTTGCCCTTACTTAAATCGTGCTGTAAAAAGGAGAGAAATGTAATCTACCATGTGGCATAAAATTTTTGCGGTAGTTTAATTTTGCGGATCGGTGATTTTATTGTATTTTGTGGAAATTATTTTTTGCGATTGTGAAAAAACTAACTTTTCGAGCTGGGAATCAATTTTTGCGATTTTCCGAATGTCACGTTTATTTGAAATACTACATTTTCGGCCCTTTTTTATACACTACACGGTTATCAGTCACTGTCTTAAGTTTTGCTCCAGTACATTGTGACTGATAGTGCGGTTTTTAATTGAGTGTCGAAAGTAATCAGGCAACTACTTAAGTTTTGGTTTTACTACAAGTTTGAGACTGGCTGTGTTGTCCAATTGCTAAGTAACTGATTTTGGTTTTGGTCTTACGACACTCAATTTAAAATTGCTCTACTAGCTTCAGAAAAAAAATTTCCTGATGAGTGGTTCAATGGGCTAGACGAACTGGATTCTCCACAACTTTCCCCCAGAGAAGCTTCTGAGCACTTCCAAACTGACACGAGGGGGACTGGGATTAGAGCAGACACGTGACGCACGACGAATAGTAACGGAAAGAGGGACTAGTTGTAGTCTAAAAGCCCCGGCCAAACGATCGCAACATTTCAACGCAACGTATCGCAACATTGTTTTGCGCGCATTTGGCCAGCCGTTGCGACATGTTGGGTTGGGTGTTGTTGCGTCAAATTTGACCATTTTCAAACCTTAGCCAACAGCACCCAACATGTCACAACACATCGCGACAGGGTGGCCAAACGCTCCCAACAATATTGCGATATGTTGCATTGAAGTGTTGCGATCGTTTGGCTCATTATTTTCTCGTCTCAGGTGTTTTCTTTGAGCATCTTTCTTTACCAAACTGAGAGCCGTTTTGAAAATTCAATTTAATTGTAAGGGACTATTTATGAACATTTCATTTATGTGTGATGTTCCAAGACTTTGTCAGTCTGTCCATAGTACACGAAGACAGAGCCTTGGAAACAAGGTTAAAAGAACATAAACGGGCGGTTCGGGCTGGAGAAAACAATTCCAAAGTTGCGCAACACGCAAACCAATGTGTCCATAGTATAGACTTCGACCATGCGACAATTGTAGACAAGGCTCGTAATTTTCACGAGAGACTTTTTCTCCAGGCCTGGTATTCGCAGAGAGACAACAACGCGGGAAACGAACATACTGACATCCCAGATGTTTACAAATCCCTCGCGTCATCACGCGCAGCGGTCGTTCGTTATGTTTTTGCTGGCGTAGCACGCGCAGAACTGTCAACCGTTAGAAAACCGTCACTCAGTTGGCTTTTTAAAAAACCGATGAAGGCCGAAGTTGTTTGGTCGAAACGTCTTTGAAGTTTTATTAACGTTGTTTCAGTCTAACGTTAACAAGAGTCAGTGTCAAGCACAAATTTTAATTCTGATGTCCATCCCTGACTGCAATTTTAGTATTTTCAGGTTAAAAATAATACTTTACTAAGATAGAAAAACACTAAAGAAATATAATAATAAAGCATCAAGGAACAAGGATGGTTAACGATGGAGAAGATTAACACGGGTTACAAACGACGAACTTGAAAAATTTAGGCCAAACTTTTCAAGATGGGCAAACTGTGACGTAGCTCCCTTAAACCATCGGCAGTTAATAATTGTGATCAGCGGCTTAGTGACTGTTGTAATCAAAAACGAAAAAGAAATAGAATAAACGAGAAAGTTAGTTGATATTAATTAAAAGCACCGAAAACGAAATCATTAAAGTTGAGCAAATTATCCTTCGTAATGCCACCGGGTGTCAGTAGGAGTTATTCCTAACGATAGGTTTTAGGCCTGTAGGGTGGGTTTACCGGCAAAAGCGAGCTTGGTAGATTTCGGCACTCTGGCTTGACGGCTTGAACAGTGAGGGCGCGAGACACACAGTTGAAGGCAGGGGGCTGAAAGACTGGCAAACAGGGTTTTTTTCTAAAGGAGACACTAAACGGGAATGGGGAAAGCTCTGCCAGAGCTAATCACTTGGCAGGCGGCACTTGTTACAAGATGGCAGAGGTACATGTGCAGGGTCTACTTTCTTAGTCCCGAGAGGCGAGGAAACAGCAGTAAACACTGAGACGTCTTCTGGAACACAGCAACTTCTTTAATGTTGAGTAAGCTTTGTAGATAATTCGCAGCTAATACACTTGTTTAGAGCGATCCTTGGTAATCGATTTGCATTTTTACGCCCTGTTTTATATCATCAAAAGTAAACAAAGGTGCTTACTAACACAAAGAGGTGTGGGCTTGATAACCACAGAACATCCGATTGGCTAATTCTCAATTATCATGATAGTAACAAAACGTACACCATTCTAGGTTCTGATAAAGATTACTTTGATCCCTGGGCTTTGATCTAATTAGTAAACCGCTCGTTGTGGACTAACGTAGCTGTTCAGGTGATATGCAAAGTATCTAATGGTTAGCAACAGACAACCCTGTGTTCCATTAACAATGTGACTGACGTTCATACTGTTACAGCTTTAACGTCACTGTTTTATCACCTAAAATAAACACAGTGTTCGCTAATACAGAGCAATACCAAAGCTTAATAGTAAGGAACGCGGGGGCAGGCTTCATAACTACACAAAATCCGATTGGCTAATTCTTAATCTTCATGATACAGTCGAACCTCAGCTCTCAACAAAGGCTACCTTGGGGACAAACGAAAGTGGTCGTTGTGAGGAGGTAGGGGTGTAATCATAACACTAGCGATTTTTCGGGGGTGCAACATTTTTGTCCTTAAGAAATGCTTATGGTGGCATATAAGTATGTTACAAAATCAAATAAAATCAATAAAACAGACACCAAAGAGAAACAGAGATCAACGACGCCCGGTACGTATCAAGTTTCGTGATCTTTAAAAACATTGGGTTTTGTTTACACCATTCGTCAGTCGTTAATTCTCAGTGGCCGTTGTCGAGAGCTTATTTTGGCAGTTGGTACGCGTTTTAGTGGCCGTTGCCGTCGTGGCGAGGTGGCCGTTGTAGAGAGGTTAAAACAAGAGTAAATGTACGGACCGTCCGCGGGACAAAAAAGTGGCTGTTAAAGAGAGGTGGCCGTAAGTAGAGTTTCGACTGTAGTAACAAAACGTACACCTTTGTAGGTTCTGATAAAGTTCGCTTTGCTCTAAATTGATATGCAAAGTATCCGCCGGCTACTATTTGGTTTGTTCTGACCTCTAACTAAGTATGCTGCTAACTTCGAAAACCCCGTTGTAAGTGGTTTTTTTCTCTCTCTCGTGACATATTGAGCACATTATTTTCGTGTTTTTTAATTTCATGGGCGTTCCTAGCGGATTTATAACTGTAGCAAACATTCGCATCGACATCACTCGAACCTCAACATGTGATTGTGATGGCGTACGGGTTCGAAAGTCTGCAGCCTCTACAGCTTTCTCGTTAGACTGCCAGCAGTCTCTGTTTTCCTCGAAAACTGTGGGGGAAGAACGCAAAGCACGTAAGCGTGCTAGCGTGACTGTGAGCGTGACGTGCGAGCGGCGAGCCGCTGGTGGCGCGGGCGTCGGAAGACGAGCGAAAAGAGCTCATCTTCCGACGCCCGTGCTACTAGCGGCTCGCCGCTCGCATGTCACGCTCATAGTCACGCTCGCACGCTAACTTGTTTTGCGTTCTTCCCCACGGAAGATAGTCTCCTCCGCAGCCGTTTTTTGGGATGTCACGCAACGCTCCCCCAAAGAAACGGCTGCTCACATCCGAACAACATTCCTTTCACGAAATTAGCCNAAAGTGGTTGCTGTGAGGAGGTAGGGGTGTAATCATAACACTAGCGATTTTTCGGGGGTGTAACATTTTTGTCCTTAAGAAATGCTTATGGTAGCATATGTGCATGTTGCAAAACAGAAACAGAGGCCAACGACTCGCGGTACGAATCAAGTTTCGTGTCTTTAAAAAAAAATGGGTTTTGTATACACCATTCAGTGAGTATACACCAGTCAGTCGTTGATTAACTGGCCGTTGTCGAGAGCTTATTTTGGCAGTTGGTACGCGTCTTAGTGGCCGTTGCCGTCGTGGAGAGCTGGCCGTTGTAGAGAGGTTGAAAAAGAGTAGATGTATTGACTGTCCGCTGAGACAAAAATGTGGCTGTTATAGAGAGGTGGCCGTATAAGTAGAGTTTCGACTGAAGTAACAAAACTTACACTTTTGCACATCCTGATAAAGTTCACTTTGCTTTAAATTGATCCTTAACTTTGAAACCAAGAATTGATCATGATGGAAAGTATCGGGCTACTATTTGGGTTGTTCTAAACTTTAACTAAGTACGCTACTAACTTCGAGAACTCTGTGGCAAGTATCTTCTTTTTCTTTCTCGAGCAATGTGATGCTAATGGCGTGCGGATTCGAAACTCTGCAGCCTCTACAGCTTTCCTGTCTCTGTTTAATAAGAACTTAACTGAAAAGGGTGACGTAAGGCGAAAACCTTGTAAATGCTTTTACATGCATGGACAGTGTAAGTGTTGGCTTGGACCATCCGTGCACTCACTATCAAACTGCGAAAAATAAAACAATAACACGATAGGGTGAATAAACCATATTAGAGTGAAAAAATAATGCAAATATCGTTATGTCATAGGTGTAAACGTTTTAAGTAGCATAGGTAATTTAATTATATTGCAAGTGACGTTAGTAACCGTATTGCGGTACAAGTATTGTCGGTAAGCAACATGAGTTACCGTACTGCACTGTAAGTAGTGTAAGCATTTGTATTGTTGGTAGCGCAAATGATCGTATTGTATTGTAAGTAGTGTATGTACCGGGGGGGAACTTCTAGAGAAATTTGGCGGGAGTGAGCGGCCCGCTGCCCAAAACCCTTACCCTATTTATGACAAAAATCTTCGATATTTCCTACCCTATTTATGACCTGACCATCAATTTAAAACCCCATTTATGACCTGACCCTTATATTATATCAATACCCTGTTTCAGACCTGCGTTACAATTAGTTCCCTAGTTCAGACCAATGTTAAATGACCGTAAACATAATTTGCGAAGGGCTTTTGTTGATTTTCTTTGCGATAATGACGAAAAAGTGGCTTCTTCTTAAAAACATACCCGTATCAAGGCTAGAGTGCAAAAACCATACCCCATTTATGACCAAAATGGCAGCAAAAATCGATACCCTATTTATGAACAAAACCGCTGAAAAGCCATACCCTTTGGGGCCGCACATACCCATATAGCCCTGCCCCATATAAGGAAGTACCCCTCCTCCTCCTCCTCCCCACCCCTCTCCCCGTGTATATATTGCATTGTAAGTAATATAAGCAGTGTTAGGCTTTGTATTGTAAGCGACAGAATTAATCACATTGAATACGAAGTATTATAAATAATGTAAGTACATGTATTAGTCTTATAAGTATTGTAACCACTGTATGTAACAATGCATAATAATAATAATAATAATAATAATAATAATAATAAAAACAATATTCGAACGAAAAGCGAATAAAACGATTATAGAAAAAGTCTTAAAATACGTGCCTACACAGTGACGTAAGGACAAAAGGTTGCTCAGTGCAACTACTTTTTAGTGATATTGACGGTACATGTGTTGGTTGATCCATGCGTGCATCTACAATCGAACTGAAAGGTTCCGCCACTGGTGTCTACATTTACGATAAACTCGTGGTACTTATGGTTACTCATGTCATCCCACACGCGCTTGCCGCCGGTCCCGACTCCTAGCGCGTTGCCTATATGGATTGGCGAAGGCAATGGTGACCTCGGTATCGAACATCTTGTAGGTTACGTATCCTGAACATCCTACGAATACAGCCCCGTTTCTTTCATAGCTGAGAACGCCGTTTTTGTCACGGTAGCCTGGCTCAATGGTATCTGGCCAAGAGAAGCCGTCAGCCAGTCGTCCATGCTTGTACCACTCTGTCACATACGTCATATCGGTGGAATTCAGCCCATTAGAAAATTTCACCAGGCAATTATGAGTCTTCACCATCTTATGCCTACAAAGTTGCAAACGACTATTGGTTTTACCGTGAACTTCTGGTAAAAAGATCAATAGAGCGGTTTTCATCTGAGTGTCAAGACTAATCAGGCAATTACTTTGGTTTTGGTTTTGGTTTTGGTTTTGGTTTTGGACTGGTTGTCTAATTGGTAAGTAGACTAATTCGTTTAATTGGTTTTGGTTTGGTTTTGGTTTTACCTCACTCAGTTGAAAACCGCTCTAACATGTAAGTATTTATTAGTCAAAGCTACTGATATTGCTATTAAATTTGCCTGCACTTGAACTTGTGCACCTTCAAGTCTGATATGTGAAACTACCTAAGCCTACGATTACGACTGAAGTAAAGTCCGTCAAATTAATCGAAAGAAAACCAAGTTATGTTGTCCTAGGTGAGGTGTGACCGGCATCGCATGAAAGACAAAATGACACACGTACCAGCTAATTTACAGGTATTCCTCATTAATTAAAATTTTTAAAAAAATGTAAGTCAAGATCATGAAATATTATCCAAAACAATAATAGGACTTACAAACATAACAAACATAATTCTACTGCGCGCCCAAAGATCGGAAAACAAAGGCAGAAAGAGAGAATATTTTTAAATGAATGATGTATGACGAATTTAACTATAAATGCATGCCTAACACAAATCAAAGAGCCCTTAGAAACTACTTCTGAATGCAAAGGCCTTTGCCTGATCCAATTCTTACTGATTTACGTGATTTTAAATTCAAGCTACTCCTTGCCTTTTTTTATGCGTTTAGTTGACAGGCGTTCTTGCTTTTCGTCAGCGAATTAAGAGCTTGAAACAAGGAGCGCGGTGCTTGCTATGGTAGCTTCCATAGCAAGTGTTAGTAGCAAGCGTTTTTCTACAAACACTCAGAATTCTCGCCACACAAGAATTGGGTCTATATTGAGCAAAAAATATCAACAAAGCTACCGCCGACTCCGTCTTTTTTTTTTATTTATTTTTTTTTTGCCTCTCGCCCCTAGTTTCGCGCGAGCAGACTTGACTCGTTCTCACTTTGCTGTGGAAACGCTTGCTACACGGGTTGATGTTTGCGCTGCGTTCTGATTTTCGAGTGCTATATGTAGGCCCACAACACCATGGACACCCACTCTGATGTGCACCTCACACCAGTCAAGGAGCAACTCTTGGGGACGAGGCAGTTATTGTATCGCTACCATTATGAAATTCTTTATTTTTTTAATCGTCTTGATCCATATTGGCTGTCAAAAGCACTGCTAAAATCGAAAAAAATAGATTGTTTTGTTATCTTCACTGCTTTTAAAGTATCAATATTTAACCAAAGCTGTAACAAGAAGCTCTAGCAAACCGGGAAGCTAATTATTAACTCTTTTGTTAAAAAGGAAATTAAGCTTTTTGAACAAAAAAAGATTCCGTATTAAAAAAAACCGTGACATTCCCTACGCTATATGCGTTACACTTTGAACCAAAAACAGATTGTCGTGACACGTGACATGTCTATTATTGAGTTAAAAAAAGGTCGTGTGCAAAATATGCGAAATAAATTGCTAATTGTCCAGGGGAAATAAACAAATACAAGTTTTACTTTTCTTCGTTTTCTGTTGCATTAACCCTTTATTACTATCCAGGTGTATTTTGTTTTGTGGTTACAGTGCTATGCCTCTTTCATTGCATTTTTTTTTCTCTCTCTAAGCGTGCTTGCTTCAAGAAACAAGAACAACGATATATATCAATTCTAAAACAACACATTATCTCCTGTCATATTTTTTTTGGCTCAATACCCTAACAGGTACCGCAAAAGCTTCCGCTGTGGATCTTTTGAGGCTGAACAACAGGTACCAAAACCGCTTGTTTAACCCCTCTAAGGTAGGACGAGCCGTTCTTTTTATATGGGAGTCCCTCCCCCCCGGGATTGAAGCCGACAATAAAACACCTCTTAGGGCTGCAAAAATTTCGAACCACGCCCACAAAACTGGATCTCGGTACCTCTTAGGGGTTCTATTCAAAATTTCTGATGAGCACCCCTGTCCTCTTTACATGGGAGTCCCCCCGGACTTCGGTCTGACAGCTTAGCATACACAGTGCTAAACAAAGCTGTTACAAAGGCAATGTGTATTCGTTCATTCGAACAAAAATCTATTCTCATTCAAGAATGCCAGAAACGTTCAGTATACGTAATGCCTACCGCAATCTGACTTCTAAGGAACAGACTTACTTTCGTCAAAACAACACCAGTGCAACAATACATACGTTACATGCATTGTCAGCTTCAATCCAGCATCTCAATATCCTGTGGGATGATCTCATCATTAGCCAATTACAGGCCATTTTTCAGCTCTTGTCTTCGCATCCCCCTCCCCCCTCGGGAGAGTTTTGTCAAGTAAACTAATTAGTATGCAAGCCACCGTAATGGCCGTCGCCATCGGCGAAATGTTTATTTGCTCAAAAATTGAGGTCAAATCTTTCGAAGATGGAAGTCAGGACATTTGTAAGGATACAGAAAGTAATTCGGGACCAGTACGTTACTGCCTTCTAAGGCTGACATTATCCAGAAGCAAGCTTTTTTAACTTTATTAACATTATTATTATCATTATCATTATCATTATCATAATGATTATCATTATCATTATCATTATCACTATTATTNAAGACTCTTCAAGGTTCAAGCTAATTATTAGAAACTTTCAACTCAAAAACTTATTGTCGAGAAGGAAGATACCAGGAAATCAAGCACTTTCATTTACACTTTTTTCGTCTGTCATGATCGTAGCCTGCGAACACCGCCTATTTTTGGCGACGTGCGGCGTGAAACAAAAGCCAGAAATCCCTCGCATGTTCGCACCGCAGACCTTTTCGCGCGAAAGATTACGTCATTCACACTTTGCTATTATGTGATTGGTCTGTTCAACAGAGCGCAAACAAACCACAAACACAAAAGGAAAAGAATGTGGTTCAGATGTGAGCAGCCGTTTCTTTGGGGGAGCGTTGCGTGACATCCCAAAAAACGGCTGCGAAGGAGACTAGACGGAAGAGGGACTGCTCGCAGTCTACTTTCTTGTCTCTGTTTAATAAGAGCTTAACTGAAAAGATTGACGAAAGGAGAAAACGTTGCCTCATACAACTACCTTGGACACCGCAAATGATGGCTGGTCCGTCCGTGCACTCACTATTGAGCTGCAAAAAACAAAAACACTAACACGATAACGTGAATAAATCATATTGGAGCGAAAAGCGAATAAAACGACTAAGACAAACTCTCAAAATACGCGCCTACACAGTGACGTAAGGAGAAAAGGTTGCTCACTGGAGCTACTTTCTTAATGTAGTTATATTGACAGTACATGTGTTGGTTGGTCCCGACGTGCATCTACAATCAAACTGCAATTTCGCTTTCCCATTACTTGCATCTACATAAATGGTAAACTGGTTGTAACCATTGTCACTCATGTCATCCCATACTTTCTGGCCGCCGGTCCCGGCACCTAGCTTGTTGGTTCCTAATTATGGATTGGAGAAGGCAATGGTGATGTCAGTGTCCAACATCCTGTAGGTTACGTATCCTGAACATCCTACAAATGTAGCCCAATCTCTTTCATAATTAAGAACTTTGCTTTCTTGGCCTGGCTTAATTGTCGTAGGCCATTCGAAGCCGTCCGCCAGTCGTCCATGCTTGTACCAATCTGTCACATACGTCATATCGCCGGAATTCGGCCCATTAGAAATTTTCACCACGCAATTGTGACTCTTCACCATCTTATACCTAAAAAGTTGCAAACGACTTCTTTTCAATTTCTTGTCTTATTTACATAATTTTAATTTGGCATTTTTAGTCAATTTTTGATATTATAAGTACCTATTGGATATTCTAGCCAATTCTACTTTGTAACTTTTGATATGTATCTTTATAAAATGAATAAAGACGCTATTATTATTACTATTATTATTATTATTATTATTATTATTATTATTATTATTATTATTATTATTATTATTATTATTATTATTATTTTGGCCACACAAAAATTGATTCTATATAGAGCAAAAAATATCAACAAAGCTACCTCCGTCTCCCGTCTTTTGTTGTTTTTTGTTTTTTGCTCTCACCCCTAGTTTCACACTTTGCTACGGAAACGCTTACTATACGGGTTAATGTTTAGGTTGCGTTTCAAGTGCTATATATAGGCCTACAACACCATGGGCACTCACTCTGAAGGGCACCTCACTCCAGTCAAAAAGGAACTCTTGGGGACTAGGCAGTTATTGTATCACTACCGTTATGAAATTCTTTATTGTTTTTTAATCGTCTTAATCCAGATTGGCTGTCAAAAGTACTGCTAAAATCGAAAAAAAAATAGATCTTTTTGTTATCCTCATTTCTCTTACCGTCAAACCAAGTGAAGCGTACCCCCCAAGATTACATTAATGAATTGATTATTTGAATATTGAACCCGCTAGTCGTTTCAAGAATGCATTAATGAATTGATTACTGGAAAATTGAACCCAGTAGTCGTTCCAAGAATACGGCTAATGGGTTTAATGTTCAAAAAACTCAATTTAATATTGATTTTTGAAATGACTAGCGAGTTTTAGGCTCCATTACCAGCCGCTGTTTCAGGAAATGAGCCCGCACTCACGCGGACCCGAGAGAGAGGCGGGAATCGAGCCTAAGTGAGTTTCTGATAATTGAAAACTTGACAAGAAACGCAAATTGCGTTTTAAGACTTTTAACACTCGCCAAGCTGGGGATTTCATTTTTAATCAAATCAGTCAGTAAATCTTGGTTTTGATTTTTTGCGCAAATTTCAGAAGATCAGCTTTGTATGGATAACCTTCTGGAACAGTCATTTTCCATACACGAAGCCATTCTCTAAAATTAGTTCTAAGCAATTCAAAATCCATGCCTCTCTCCGTCCATACACGCTCGATAAGCATCTTTTGCCTTTT